GGCTGCAAATCTACTCGTTTTTGTTACTTATCGATCCTAGAGAGGCAAAACCGTCTGAAGATGACAATTCCAAAAAAGTTACAGAAAAGAACAGTACAGTCTGTAAAGCGCAATCGTCGATTTCTCATTTTATTCAGGAAAGAAACTGCGACAATCTTCATTGCCCGCCGAATGCTTTTGGTATATTTGATTGCCTTGTGACTGTAGCTATGAAGAGCGTCGCGCGCTAACGACGTAGCCGTAGGAACTTTGCCAGGACGAGTAATTCGGTTCGAAGATGAGATTTGCTAGATTTTCTGTGCACCTTGACGTTATTCAACGAATTCAGTCTATATCTATGATTCCTCTGATGAAGAGACGAAAAGTAGATCAGTTATAGAGAAACAAAGGAATGCGGATGTGCATTTTACGCTTTTTCAAACTCTAAGGGTGCTTCATGTATGCGAAGGATCTGATGGGAACAAGTGATGTGCTGCGATTCAGGGAAGTTTTCGCTCTTGTTGGAGAAGAGGGGACCATGGAACCCTGGCAACAAATGGAAATTGCACCTCTGCTTCCGACTCACCGCCCACGACCGATGGCCAATTCATTCATTCACCTCTACTAGTCTAATTTATCTATGTAGGGCTGCAATCTTAGGGAAAAATACATACCAGTTATCGCAATGAACTTCATTTTCTCTCTACTTAGTATTTTTTGCTTCAATAAATGAGCTGACCTGGGCCTAAAGTGTCGCTACAACTCACGGGGTTTACGGCTAAGCCGGGTAAAGGCTCGAGTGGAAGTAACATTCGCCACAGCGATTCAATTTGTATAGTTGGCCGAATGATGAAGCTTTCTAACAGTTTTTGGTTTTCATTTGAGTAAGTGGCAACAGCACTCAGAAAGAAATCGTTGGTTGAAGAGACAGCTTTATATTTATTGTAAACAAGCTTACAGCTTTCCGACATAGGCTGCTTTCACAGTCCGCCGGCCGGCCGGCGTGCCAGGCGAGGCAGTACTAGGGGGAGGAGGGAGGCGGACGATCGGTCTGCCCCTCCGAAGGGCTGTAAACAAGCCCCTGGTTGTTTGGTTTTTGATCTTGTCCTTCTTTGTTTTCTGCCCATCGACCGATCGTCTGCCTCCCTCCTCCCCCCTACCACTGCCTAGCCTGGCACGCCGGCTCGACGGCCGGCGGACTATGAAGCAGCCGTGGGAAACGTGTTTCTAATAAGGGAAGGATCCCTAGTCGAAGTGGCCATTTGAAATGGGACCTATACTGCTAG